GGTCTGAGTTTAGAAGATGTTAAGTTCTGATCAGCATTCAATTTCATCAGCTGAGTAAGAAATTTCAAGGCTAAATTTGTGCTAAGTACAATGTCCTACTCTCAGCAAATGGAGTCTTGTTCCAAGTTATGATGCTTCAGATTGGGGTAGTGTTGGTGAAGGCAGTCTCTTGACCATCATGACTGATTCTATGTTGGGTCTTGCCTGAGTCCCACAGCTACAGGAACCTGCACAATCTCAGTACTCACCTGGCTTTGAAGTTGGCTAAAACATTTATGTATTTCACTGACATTTATGTATTTCAGTGGACTCTGCCTGGTGCTGGGCACATTTATTGGCTTCATGTTTGAACACTAGTCTTGAGATAGCTGTGCTGCCTAAGTTTAGTAGCACTCTTTCTTTTTCTCCTTTTAAATTTTTTTTTATATATTTTAGCAAAATCATACTCAGTGGTCAGTCCCCTGGCTTCCTTACCTGCTATTTAGGAAATTTGATGCTCGAATAGCAATTATAATTGATGTAATTTTGGGAAGAGGATGACTGGAAGATTTTTCTCATCTTCCTTCGTTTGCTACCTCCTTAATTTTTAAAATATAATTTACTGATTGATATTCTTAAATTCTTCTATGAATTATTAATATTGCCTCATATTTTCTTGTATTGAATCATATTGTTTTATAATAAATATTATATAACAAAAATATTGACTTTATTTATTCAATTAGTTAATTTAGGTTTATTTGAAACATAAACATTTTTCATGATAAAAGAAATAAGTCACACTCAGAAAGTCCAGCCTCACATGTTTTCTCTTATATGCAAAAGCTAGCGAAAAATAAAGAATTAAAAGAGTGGGGAGAATCTCATGATGATAGAAAGGAGAATAGTGAATTAGATAGAGAAAGAGACAGGGAAGTGGAGGAATTGCAGAATAAAATTGATCAAGTTATGTTAAGTGCATGAATTAATATATCACAAAGATTTTGACTTTTATGTTAACTATAGAGCTTCAATAAAAGAAAATAAATAAGTAAATAAATATAAGGAAACTCAGTAGTATAGAGGAAGAGAATTGAGGGGAAGGAAAAATGAACAAAATATGGAATAAAATTTACCAAATTATGCTGTATACATATGTAAATATATCATAATGAATCCCATGTATATGCACAATTATAATGTTTTAATTTAAAAATAAATACATGGAAGGAAGACCAGCAGAGTAGAGAAAGGGGATTAGGAGAAAGGAGGAAAAGAGGGAGAGGAGAAGTACTAAAAGTTAATATGAAGCAAATATTATATGCATTTAGGAATATGTGAAAATTAATCCCACACTATTATGCCTAAATATAACTCACTAATAAAATGTAAAAAATGTCTTTTTTTATAATTGAATCTTTGTGCATTATTTTCTCTTTCTTTTTAATCCTTTTCCTGATACTGAGAACTTATCTCCTTTATCAGAAGCAAGCTCTATTTAAAGTTTTTCTTTCCTGTGGATGTAGCCATTAGTAACATTTATGCATGTTCTCATTGACAATATGCATTATAGTTTTGCAAATATATTAAATTAATATTTTAAATGGTGAAAGTCTTATTCTTCAATTATTTTTTACTCAGGTATGTTTTATTCATGTTAACTCCTTCTTAACAAGAATAGTTCTTTGATTTTGCAGGATAAAAATACTTACTAGACTTTTGTAAGTTGTTTAGCAAAAAGACTATGATTTCAATGAGAGTGGGAATATTTACTTAACTCCATCTCATTGCCATTATTTGGAAATCATGTACCTTTAAGCTTTTGTCAATAAAGAGCTTGTAATATAATTTAATACTTAATTTAATTTAGAAGTATAATAGAATTTTATACTTCATTCTATGGATTTTAGACCTATCAATTAATTAATTGTATATGCACAATTGCATCTATTTTCTACAGTCTGTGAATTATTTTATTTTTAAATATTTTCATTATGTAGACTTTAGAAACATTAATAACCAAATATATCCATCTTTGTGATTTTTTTTCACTTGTTTTTAAGAGTCATTTCCATGCTGAGTCACACACACTTTTGCACAGACATACATATAAAAACAATCAAACACATGCACAGAGGACAGTCATTGTTTGCAAACCTAAAAAATTGCCCAGATAATGTATAAATATTACTCTGACTTAATTTTGACATTAGAATAAGTAAGCATGTGAATAGCAGTAAGAGAGTCTGTGAAATAAAAATAGAGAAATTGTGGTAGGAATATGTGATAGGAAAAGTTGTTCTTCTTATATAAATTTTAGGTATTATATAAATTTATTAAAAATCTCAATTTAGGAAAATATCATTTGATGGAATTCTGTTTTCTGCAGAGATTTTCCTGTGGAATTAAAGAATGAAGGGTACAGAGGAGCAAATATATGAGTTTAGCAATATAATGAAAGTTATCAATAAAAAACAGGGGAGATAGAGCAAAATTAAATGTCATGATATCTCATTTTTAACATTAGTTTGGTCAAAGTTGTTGCCATTAATGAATACTGGAGCCTAAATACTTTTTATATCTATTTAGATGTAATTACATGCTTTCTTTTTTTAGTTGCTGGATATGGCGAATGACACTGTATTTTTAAATGTTGAGACATTTAAACTCTTGTATTATAGGAGCTTTTATATGATATTTTATATCAGGTTATGCCTAACACCATGAAAAGCTTATTGTGCATAGGGCTATATTTAGCAGTTAACATTCAGTTTAGAATTTTACACATTTGACACCTTTAATATCAGGGAGGGCTTACAAAAATGTTAGAAAATACAGCTTCTCTTCATATTTCTGGAAGAATTTTGAGAGAATGTTTACTCTTTTTTCTCTCCAAATATGTATTAGAATTCGCCAGTTAAGGAATGACTTGGGGGAGAAAAGATGAGTTATTTTTAACACAGTTTTCATAGGTCTATCTCAATATGACTTTTTCCTCATGCCTCTGTAAGTGAAAAATCACAATACTTATATCTCTGGCAACCATAGAAAGCTCTTAATAGACATCCTGAACATCAACAAGATTTCTTTGAATTTTTTATTTTTCTAAATTTGATTTGAAGTTTCTACATAAAATATAAAACTATATTGACAAAATTTATTTTAGCAAATAATAAAATCATAAGCCAGATTCTTTTTTTTAATTTTTATATTCCATGAAAAACTTTCTGAAATAACTTTTAAAAATATACATAATAATGAAAAAGATACTAACATTGAAAATGAGAACATATATTCATTCATTAAAACATTAAGTATTAGCTTACTACTTTTATGTTTTTGTTTATCATTTGAGGATATCCCTATGAAAATTATTTTAGAAGTGCTATATTTAGTTGTGTTTATTGACTTTTTTTATATTTAGATATTAGAAGCTCTTACCTTCATCTATTATAAAAGTTGAAATTTTCTGTGAATTTAATTTGGTGTAACACAAAATAACTAATAAAATTGATAATACACATTAATTCTAAAGTTATCACAGTCTTGTGTCCACTAACAAACTATACTAGCATTTAATCTAACCTCTGTTCAACTTATAATTTCTAGGCAATTCCAACACTTTATATATACATATATGAGTAAATAAAAAGCTAACAATTAGGTATATTCTGTTGTCAAAAGAAAGAAAAAAATGAAATATGTAAACTCTGCAGTAATGTTTATTTCCACATGATGATATTTGTATGCTTTTAGTTCTCCAATTAATTATTTTTAAACATATGTTTAGATACATAATTTTTTTTCTCAAATGTGTGTATAAATTTGAAACACATCAATCATTTTATGACACAAATAAACTTCCATGAAAGTTAAATAAAAATAAAATAAAGAAAATATGAAGTAATTTAGGGAGGGTTGTACATGAAATGTGCCAAGGCACCAAAAAAAGTTTTTGTGTCTACGCAAAACACATTACATTCTCCCTGCAAATTAGCACAACTCAAGTCATGCGGTTTTTTCTTTTCAGTTCTTTCAAGCCATATTATCAAATTTATGCAAAAAATGTATACTAATAAAAAGATCTGATACCTTCTTTGGGACCAAATATAAGGGAAAGCAGTCACTGAAAGAGGAGCAAGAGACCTGCTTAATCACACAGCATGAAACTTGTCAAGAATAAAATAAAATATAGGCTGTTTTAAACAAGAATCATTGTGTTCATTTGCAGAGGTGAGGACAAGAAACCATTTATTAGACAAATATAGGGAGTTAAAATGTAAAAGAGAAAGAAGCTTCTATAGTAAAACTTCATATGGTCTCTTATTTGGTATATTCACTAGTCTCCATAAAGGACTAGATTACATGAAATTTTTTTAGCAGAACTGTGATTTTATGAATAGGATCATGCATTAAGTAAATAGTCTCTTTTGAGCTAATACACAAAACAAAGGCCACCAATGAAGAAAACCAGAAGCCCAGGAGCCCCAGGTGAAAGAGGGGCTCAGAGCACATGATCTGACTCAGTCATTTCAATGACTGTACTACACTGAGCTCCTGATGACACATGCTGTTGGATTTTAACACAACCCATGGATGTGTATGAAACACAGGGATTATACTTGCACAACCAGAGAAACACACAAGCACATTCACAGTCATGAGAAGTTTATTACTATAGTTGTGACTAAAAAAAAATTAACTCATTTTTCGTATTTACTATTCTTTCTCATTCCAATGCAGCATCAAACTCTGACACTTGCTTGTGGAGTCTATAGGTCTTAAATTCCCATTCTACTTTATTATACAATTTACTCAATTTTTTAAAATTCATCTTTCCCCATTCAGAAAAGAAGATCTTGCTGTTTTGTTCACTAATATATTTTAAGCATTTAGAAATTTTACTGTTACTACAGTAAAATTAATTATATGAATATGTGTTGTTTGCTAAACATGCTGGGGGAAAACTGACTGGCTTCATAATCAAACCACATTCATAGAAGTCATATTCTATGTAATCTTTAAGAAAAGATGTTGCATATCTTTTTCCATGTGCCTTGTAGAGCAAACTTGACATCTTTGTTCCTCAAGCTGTAGATCAAGGGATTCAACATGGGGATAACCAGTGTGTAAAATATGGAAGCCACTTTATCAGTGTCCAAAGAATGACTGGACTTGGGCTGGACATACATAAATATCAAAGTCCCATAGAACACTATGACCACTGTCAGGTGGGATCCACAGGTGGAGAATGCCTTGCGCCTGCCCTCAGCAGACTTCATCCTGAGAATGGCTAAGAGGATGAGCAGGTAGGACACAAGGACGATCAGAAGAGAGGAAATCAAATCAAAAGCTGCAAAGATCATAATTGTCAATTCGACATCATGAGTGTCTGAACACAGCAAAGATATCAAAGGCATACAGTCACAGTAGAAATGATTAATGACATTGTAGCCACAGAAGGATAAGGTAAAAATCTTTATGGTGACTGTAAGTGACATAAATATACAATAGAGATAGGGGATTGCCACCAGCAACTGACATAACCTGTTTGACATGATGACTGTGTAGAGGAGAGGGTTACAGATGGCCACATAGCGATCATAGGCCATTGCAGACAGAATAAATAATTCACTTCCAATGAAGAAGAGAAAGAAAGCTAGCTGTGTAGCACAAAAATAATAGGAAATTGTATTTTGAGCCACAACAAAATTTAATAACATTGTTGGGCCCACAGCTGTAGAGTATCCAAAATCAGTGAGAGCCAGGTTTCTAAGAAAAAAGTACATGGGTGTTTGAAGTCTGGAATCCACCTTGGTAAGGATGATCATGCCCAAGTTGCCCAGCACTGAGACCACATAGATGATGAGAAATAGCCCAAATAATGGAGCTTGCAACTCAGGGCGATTTGTGATGCCCATCAGAATGAACTCATGCACTACAGTGAGATTGTGTTTCTCCATCCAATTTCATTAAAAAACCTGTTTCAGATAAAGCATCAGTGCAATTAATGGATTTCAAATATTATTACTTGACAAATATTCGTTATGGAAGGCTGGTGTAAATAAGATATATTCAAACTTTCCTAACAGTAAATTTGAATTTGTATACATATTTACATGAGCAAATACATAGAAATGAATGATCAATAGTACTACTCTAGGGTGATTGTACTCACAAAAGAAACCTATTAATTGTAGTTATATTTCAGTATAACTGAAATGATTAGAGGCCAGTTAAGCTGCTAAACATTCAAGTCTGTCCAATGTCCAAGCAAAACAATATTCAAATCAGTTACTTTCTTCCAAGGATGATAAACCCTGATGCATAGAGAGATGTACATATATACAGATAGATAGGTAAAGCAAAATAGGAAAATAATCTAAATTTTGCTATTTTTTGTGTTAGATAAATGTACAATTATTATTTTTAACTTTTCTATTTTCATATACTTAATTACACTCACAGTCACATTTAATAATTGCACTCAATAATATCAGATAATGCACAGTATAATTACAAAATAAGGATTTCTAAACACAAAAAATCTAAGATTTTATACAACTCCCTATATTACAAGGTACTAAATAATTTTCTTGAAAGAAAAGGTGGTAGAGGTCATCCTATTAACTCTGTGGCTGATGTTAGAATATTAATATGACAATGAACTATTATTTTAGATTATTTATATTTCTTATATTCAAAACTATTATAAAAATAATATATAATGCTATCACAATAGAAATTAATGTAACATATTATTCTTCCCCTGTGATATTTTCATTATAAATGAAATATACTTACTTGTGTGTAACAAATTAGATTCACTTTATTATGCCACAACATGGGAGAATATGAAGAAAATATGAACAAATTTGAAGAGAGTTTATTTCATTGATGCTGTACAATGAAGTCTTACATAATCTTCTTTGGATATGATGATGCTTTGCTTTAAAGTAAAAGGTTCAAATACTTTTATAACAAACTTAAAAAATGTTCTACGTTGCACATTTTTTATTATATAGCACCATTTAGACAAAATAAACTATAATAAGGATGAGTTAAACATAGATATTTGGGTATGTTTTATAGCACTCTGTATATAAAACAGCAATAATTTCTTCCAAATGTAATGTAGCACAGTTTGCAGATGTATGTGTGCATAACAAAATACAATGTATCTGAACATCCCCAATAACCCAGAAAATTAGAAGATGTGCTATAGCAGCAGGTATATGGCAGGTACATCTTTATTTTGAAGTAAAAACAGTAAAGGAACATTTTTCTTTCATAAAAAAAAGGAAAGAGAAATGACCAACTTTGTAGTGAAAATTTTAGTGACAGGCACTTGTACATGAGATATAAGTTAGCAATTTTCCAATGGTCAAATATAGCTTTCTACATGTAATTTGCACTTATCTCAAACAAAATATTTCTTACATAGTTGTGGCTGCTGATATCCTACCCTAAATTAATTTAATAAACTGCATCAGTTTGTTAGAGAAATACCTTTAATAAAGGAATAGGAAATAAATTGAACTACTTTATTTTGTTGTGTTTAGCAATCATGAAATACTACAATATAACATAATCAGTTTTAATTAATATTCCTGTAAGATAAAATTATGTTAATTAGCTTGGTTGAATCATTTCACCTTATATTAAAGAGTCATAGTGCCATTTTATATCCACGCATGTATATAACTATTAATAATAAAAACTGAAAAAATAGAATGTTTTGTGCTCATCAGTTTTGTGGTTCTATGAAAAGAACCAAACTACTTTCTCATAGTTTTCTCATTTTTACTGAATAATCAATTTTACTTTTAAGCTTATACTCTGAGAAAAATTTAGTAAAAACTCACTGCAAAATATGGAAAATTTTGCTTTTTCTGTAAAAGCAGGTATCCTGGTATATTAAAAAATGCTTTTTCTGTCTCATTGTGAAACAGTAACTCCTATCTCTAAGAAAGAGATCTGGAATGAATCACATTCATGTATTTAATTACATAATTTTAAATGTTAATTTATATTACAAATGGTCACAAAGAAAGCACAGAGATATTAAATGCCTAAATATTTGGGAGGAAAAAAATGTGGGTATTGATCTCTGTTTTTTCAATTTATTCCATTACAGTGTCTTTGAATTTATATTTTATCTCCTGTCACTTTTGCTTTTACATGGACAATTTAATTATTAAATTAAAAATATGGACAATTTAATTATTTTATAAACACACAGCTTGTGGGTTTTAAGATACATATGAGCTTTTAACGTCTCAGGCGCCAATATTCTAAAGTTAAGATGAGGGAAAACAGAGAGAGATTGTATTGCTCTGAGGTATTACAGAGCTCTTGAAAACACAGAAACTGAATCAGAAATGGTCACTTAAAAAATAGGGCAATGCCATAACAAAGTTTATCTACTTCAGTAGGTACTGCTAACATACATGAAAACTTCTGTCTTTGTTACCTCCACTGAAGCCTCTCTCTCTTTGATTCTCTGGTGTGTTTCCGAACATTGCATTATAGAAGAGAATTTATGGATTTTTTTTCATCATTTGATACTCTCCCTCAGGAGATGCAAAGAAACTAGTAGAGTATCCCTAAAGCATTTGAGAACTTAATGAAAGGCCTGTAGTTTGTCCATTAATTGCCAGGGGAAATTTATATTCAATATTTATTTATTTATGATAGGATTCAGCAAATCCACTTCTGAATTTTGTGCAGAATATTTGAAATTAGGATATTAAAGAAATGCCTGTACCCTCTTGTTCTTTTTAACATAATTTGAACTAGACAAGATGTGGAAAAAATCTAATACCTATTTGTACATTAATGGATTTGTAAAATGTGGTATAAACAAGTGTGGAATATGAATTAGCCTTAAGAATGTAAAAAGACAAGTACCCATGCTCTCCCTTACATGGAGTATGGAAAATAATCAAACTTATTGAATCAGGTATTGGCATGATGATAACCAAACGCTGAGAGTTTAGAGAAATGAGGAGAGGCTCATAAATAGACATGAAATCTTAATTATACTAAATAAAAAAAAATAAAGACAACTGTTTTAAGAACAGTACTGTTTTCTACTTTGAAATTGTTAAGAGTCTAGATCTGATGTTAAGCACAGCACATTTTTTTTAAAGGAAATGTAGTTTCAACACATACCATGGCAGGTATGAATCTAGAAAACATTAATTCAAAGGAGACAGGAAACAAAGGTTACCTTTACCAAAAATATTTTCTAAAATATATGCAGAATAGAAAAATGTGTAGAAATGGAAAACAGTTCAGGAGGACCTGAAGAACTAAAAAATGAGGAGAGGTAACTAAATGGGTACTACATAGTGATAAGGGCATCAATTAGTAACAAATATTCAAATGATTCATAATTATAAAGAATAAATCAATATGAGTGTTAGAGGTTGAATATTACAGGATCAACTTCTAAAATTAGTGTAAATCTACTTCTATGAATGCAATCTGAATAGCATTTGTTAAAGTAAATATCTTGGGCTTTTTTGGATGAAGTACTAATTTCAAAAAGGAAAGAGAAATTATAACAATCCTCTATTGAGCATGTGCTGTAAGAATGCACTTTTGCTTTTTTCTTCTTTTAATAATAAAGTCCTCATTCTATTTATAAATTAAATTGTTCATTACCTTTGAGTTTATGTAGTTATGTAGTAACTTATATAACTTCAATATTAATTGCATTTTAAATGTTTTCTCCTGTTTTGTAGCTTGCCTTTCACTTTTCTAATCATTTTTCTTTGATTTGCAGAGGATTTTAGTTACATGTAATGATATTTGTGTGATTTTGTTTCTTTCACTTGGCTTTGGAGTTATATCCTTTTACAGCTTTGCCAACATACTGTCCTGATGCTTTCCCTTCACAATATGTTGTTGGGATTAACTTTTAGGTAATTTATAATATTTAATCTATATTAGTTGGTTTTTGCATATGGTGCAAAGCTGGGGTCTACTTTCATTTGTTCTCACACATGCATTCAGTTTTCCTAGCATGCTATATTTAATTGACCATCTTTCTCCCTTTGTATTTTTGGCACCCATTTTTAAATCAGTTGATATAATATGGGATTGCTTCTCTGTTTTGTTCCATTGGTTTACGTGTCTGTCTTCAAGCCATTTCCATAGTTTGCAGTTAATGTAGCTCTGTAACTTGTTTGCAATCCAGGAGTTTGATTCCTGTAGCTTTATTCTTGAAGATCACTTTGGCAATCAATGTGTGAAATTGCTTGTGGTATGTGTATTGGGCTCTAGTACTCAAAATGTCTCCTTTGTGCCAGTCCCACAAGTTTTTAAATGGTTTTATTATTAAAGTGGAATTCATCTTAACTCATACATAAAATAATACAAAATAATGAGGTTCTACATGATGTTTCTATATGTGTATGCATTGGGTAATGTTTAAATCAGTTGAAACAAGTTTATCCTCTTCAACACATCATTTCTTTATGGCAAAGTGTTCAAAATCATTTCTTCTGGATTTTTGAAACATGTAGCAAACTACTGCTTACCTACACCATCCTACTGTAAAATAGCACAACAGAGAGTCTTAGGCGTGGCTAATGGTCATTTAGTGCACATCGATCAACATTTCCTCAGTGTCTCAGCCCACCCTTTCTCCTGACCTCTGGTAACCACCAGTCTACTATAAACTTTTATAAGATTAGCCTTTTAAAAAATTTTTTGTAGTTGTATATGGATAAAATATCTTTATTTTATTTATTTATCTTTCTGTGGTGCTGGGGATTGAACCCAGAGCCTCATATGAGCTAGGCAAGCACTCTACCACTGAGCTACCACTCTAGCCCCTAAGATCAAACTTTTTACATGCCACATATGTGTGAGAAAATGTAATGCTCAACTTTATGTGTCTGGCTTATTTCAGTCACCAGTTTCATCCATGTTATCACAGATGCCAGGATTTCAT